GGGGCCAGGAAAAGAACCCCACCAGAGCACTGCTGGCTGCCGGTCCAGGGCTTTGTGAAGAAGCACAGATAGTAAACACCGACTGAGCACAAAACATTCAATTCCTTGGAAGTTAGATATTATCTTCCCCATTCTATAGATGAAAAAAAATGGCCTCAGAGAGGTTGAATCTCTTGTTGAAAGCTTTCACAGCTCGTAAGTGACAGAGGAAACACTGGAACCTAGTCTGCCTAGTGTCGTAACCCCATCAGCGACCTTACACCCTTCCGGGCTCTGGCACCAGAAGGCTCGCTTATGGGCTTCCTTCTGGGCCCTGGGATGGATGCTCTGGGCAGCTGGATGCCCCTGTCACCGCTGCAGCCTCAGTGTCTCTTGATCACTCAGGAGGAGCCTTGGGGACGGAGTGTGGACCCCACCCTCCGCCCTCAGCAGAGCTTCCATCCTGTGCAAGTGCTGTGGCGGGTGCTGCGTGATGGACGTGACTCTCGTCCCTGCTGATATGACGCTGTCTGTCTTGACAAGAAAATGACATTTGAATAAGTAATTAAAGCACAGGATCCATCAAGGTACAGCGCCGAGGCTCTGGGGGAAGGATTAAGAACACGGCTTATGTGTTTATGTTTTGTCTTTTTTTTGTTTTTTTGAGACAGGGTCTCACTATGTAGTTGAGACTGACCTGGAACTCACTATGTAGCCCAGGCTGGTAGACATGATCCAAGTACCTAGGGAGGGGGTGGCAGACACCATGAGGCTCAGTGGGCCAAAGTGATGAGGTGGCTCTGCACTGCAGGGGCAGAGTGGCCCTCTGAGGAAGGTGATGTCCCAGCCCAGATCTGAATGGTGCAGGTAGAGTATTCCAGGCCAAGCACAGCATGTGCAAAGGCTCTGAGGCTGCAGGCAGGGGAGAAGCTGTGCGCCTCTGAGTCTGGAGCCCTGTTCAACCCGATGTTCACTTCCCGCCCTGTCCACATGGGTGGCAGAAACTTCCCTGCCCTGTTGATGTTGGCCATGGCACATGACCGCTTTGGTTGGATGGGATACAAGTAGATGCCTGTCTCTAGGCTCCAGAAGTCAAACAGGTGAAGCAGACATGAGCCCACTCTGCACAACAGAGCGGAGCCAGACACCCCCAGCCAGAAGCTGAACTGGCAGCCACTCTAGCCACTTTTCTTCCGTCAGCGGGAGAACCACTGCTTGTTCATGTGAGCCACTGAGTGCTGGGCTGGCTCGTTACACAGCACTAGTGTGGCTGTTGCTGACAGATACAAATCTGAGCTACCGCAAAGTCCAGCATGACCAGAAGAGAGAAGAGCAGGAAGATGAGACAGGATGGGGCTGCAGGGCAGTCAGGTACCTTGTGGACCCTGTATGACATACTGGAAATGCTTCCATCCACACTGGGTGCAGCATGGCCAGGGGAGGTGAGGTGCTGAGCAGACACAGTGGGGTGCGTCCAGGCCTCTGGACCCTGTTATGTTCCCATCCTACCGTCATCTCATCTCAGTGGCAGCAGTTACCACCTCCCCATGCTTGGCAGGACTGGCCTTGTCTGATTTGTCCAACTCTTGCTAAAATCTCCTCATGCAAATGAGGAAACAGATCATCTCCTGCCCTGTGACCTCAGGTGAGGTCATGTTGATAGGGAAAACTTTTATAAATAGCAAAAACCTATAGAGTGTTACAATGTGAAGTGGCTTCTGCTGTCTCTAACAGCAGTTTGTTTTGTTTAGCTCAAAAGTAATAGGCACTGAAGGCACTAATTCCTGAATGAGGCATTGGTCTTATCCTGAGATAAGTCAAGGTCTTGAGCTCCGATGAGACTGGAGCCACCTGATCGTAAAAGCATCTAGATGAAAGAATCCATCGCACGGCACTGAAGGCACTAAGTGCTGAACGAGGCGTCTGGTCTTATCCTGAGGTAAGTCAAGGTCTTGAGCTCCGATGAGACTGGAGCCACCTGATCGTAAAAGCACCTAGATGAAAGAATCCATCGCTAACCTTTGTTTCCCTGACCCTGAACACCCACTTCCTGTGGGCTAGAATAGAGAACTAGGCGAATCTTAGAGGTAAACTCCCCAACGGCAAAGAACTGCTACGTCTGGGTCGAAAGTCAACTATCCTGTGACTGTGACCGAGCTGTGAGAATGAAGTGTAACCGCCCACATGAAGTCAAGGCTGTGGAACCCCGTAGGAGGAGGAGCCGTAACCCAGTGCGTCGGCGATCGAGGCACGGCTTATGTGCGATCGACCCTTACCCATGAGTAAATTTGTTATTTTACCTCCCTTCTGCTGCCTCTCTGGGTGTCACTTACTGATTCCTTCTGTAACAGTGTGACCAAGCTCTGGCCAATGATCTGTGAGCAGAAGCGTTACGTGTCGCTTCCTGACTGGGGCATTTGATTTCTGGTGTGGGACTCTCAGGACTCCCTCCCCTCTGGGCGGTCCCCTTGAGAAGCAAACTCCCTGGAAAGCGCAGTGGGTACAGAGAGTGAGTGAGAAGTGGGACTTGGTTTTTATAAACCGGGAACATCCTGGAGAGGTTTGTTACTACAGCATGGCTGAGTCTGGCCTTGCAGGTCAAGGTGGGAATGCGTGGCTCTGTCTGTTTCTCAGCATTCACAGTGAAGAACCGAAGACATCCTGGAGAGAGGAGGAAAACAGAGCAGAGAGGAGGGAGGGAAGGAGAGAGGGGAAGGAGGGGAGAGAGGGAGTGAGAGAAATAATTCAATTCAGTTTCCCAAACACACCTCTCCCCATGCTCCCGCGGAGCCGTGTAGACTCCACAGAGCACCTTTGGGTGAAGCCTGCCCAGAGCACTCCAGGACAGCGGGATGTAGCAGGTCTGTGGGACTCCTCCGGGCTCCAGGGCCTCTGGAAGACGTCTCACCTCAGACAGCCTCGCGTGCCGCCAGCCTCCGCCTCCCGCCGTGAACGGCGCCTCTCCCATTCCTGTCCTTCCTAAATGCCAGGCTCGCGGGGAGGATGAAAGCACTGCCAGGTGCTTGGGACGTTGGCGGTGCGGCGAGGCCCGCTGCAGATGTTCCAGTTGCTCAGCAGCTGTCTGCGAGTGGGGGGTGCAGCCTGGCGGGGAGCACAGAGCCGGGTGTGTCGGAGCTGCCTGCGGCCCTGTCACGGTTTGCCTAGCTCGGGTCAGTGGCACGGCACCCACCCTGTGCCCCCGGGATGCCCCGGGCTTGTCAGGGTGCCTTGATCCGTGTGAGTCTCGACACTGAGGGCCCCAGGCAACTGCTAGGGCCAACAGCTCCCTGCATCCTCAAGAATGTGGGGTCCTGCTTCTGGGGTCCTCTGCCCAGGACTTTCCATGGGCCAGGAACCGCAGACACAAATTATACCCTCCTGCCTCTGCCAGAGGATGGGGCCTTCAGCCCTGGCCAGCTCCCCAGTGACCCCCATTTCCATGGTCCATGAGTTTCCATTTCTTCCCACAAAGGCCCGCAAAGTTGCAGACCACTGTGGGCAGACTCTCCCGGGTCCTGTCAGGGACTGGAAACGCACTGGCTGAAAGTTTTCTCTGGGTCTCAGTTAGACATTTGCTGCGGGGAGAGCGTGCTACCTCGGGCCCAAGCACACACAGGCAAGGCCCAGCGTAACCACCACTGTCACTGAATGAACTCCCACGGAGGTCCTCCGGCAGGACGGCTTCGTTGCCTCTCTGGGGTTCCCTCTTTCTCATACATGGGCCCCACTCCACTCACACGTTGCCTCCTGCACCTCTGACCCCTCAGATGCCATGTGGCTGTCTAAGGGGTACCAGGGCGCTTGCAGGTTCCCGCACAGGTGTTCCTGTCCCCTTCCAGGCCGCCCCCCACTAACAGGGCCACTGCAGCTGGTGCTGGGCAGGGCAGGGCGTTGGGTGCCCTGTGTCAGGGTCCCACCTCACCGTGTCTGGGAAGGACCCACCACACTCTCCTCCCAGAATAGCAGCTCAGCTCCCACCCACCCCCAGCCCTCCCAGGCCCGGCCCTCTCCAACCTGCCAACTGAAGAGGGGAGCTCATTAGCTACAAATTAGCATTATTATTCAACTCAAGTGCCCTGTCAGGGGCTTACACAAGGGAGCTGGCAGCGCAGGCCTGTGTGTCGTTGCTTGAGATTTTAATAATCTCTGAAGGTGTTTCTTAATGTAATAATAACAATACTGATGATCAAAGGATGCGGCAGTGTTCCCTCCCATGGGGCCTCAGCTGCCTGACTCACAGAAGCCTGAGGGAAAGCCGGGCGTGGGGGTGGAGAGCGCAGAAACCACCCGCTAAAATAGCCACAGCTGGGCGCTCACAGCCCTCTAATCTGCCCCCTGCTTCCAGAACTGCGCCAGCGTGATTGAAGGGTGCCCTGCCCAGCCCCAAGTGCTTCACAGAGCAAGGGGTACTCAGGAGCCCCTCACGGATCCTCTGGGGAGTGCCTTGAGGTGAAAACTCATCCCCTCTCGTCCCCCTGAAAATGGTTCCCTGCTAGGACCCCGAGAAGGTCCTCTGAAGTTAGTCAGGCAAAGGAACAATTTTATTCAAGGAGCTGCCTCCATCAGAGAATGCTTTTGGAAACCATTGAGAGAAAAAATTAATTCAGACTGCCTCACACTCAACAGATGATTTGTTTGATGCACACATTTCGACTAGAGCTTCAGGTGTGGTTGGATCTAGGTGGCCCTAAAAATAATGTCAGATTAACATGGAAATACAAATATTTCATAATCAATCAGGAATTTTAAAATATTGATTTTTCCCTCTCCGTTGCTTGATCTTGCTTCCCTCTGTGTCAACTCTGTTTTTGGGGACTCCTTCATGGTGGCAAGAAACTGCCAGCACCTCCAGGCTTCCTTGCGTCATTCTCTTTCCCAGCAGCCCTTACTGAAGAGCTGTATTAACTTCCATAGACTCCCATTGGCCCAGCTTGGGTCACATGCTTACCACTGAACCAATCAATGGGGTCAGGAAAAGGAGTTGCCCTGATTGGATAGGCTGGGGTCTCATGACCATTCCTGGGCCATAAAAGGAGGGAGACAATCCCACTCCAGCCCCCACTCCAGACTGTGAAAAGATCTCCAGGGCAGGTAGGCTGCTCTTCCCTGAAGAGAGGGGCGCAGGTTCTGGGCGGGCAGAGCTGGGATGGGTATTATGTGAGCTGTGCCTGGGCAGCACTGCCCTCCCGGCTTCCAGACCCAGAGTTGGCTGCATTGTGGGGACCCCAGACCATGGAATACTCTGAGTTGGATGGGTGCCCCTGGGTCAGACCTTGGTAATAGTCATATGAGATTCAGGGACTCAGCGCTGTGAAATCACCGCGCCCAGCCCTCTTCTGACACTTTGTCCCTGTAGCCTCTTCGGGGAGGCTCAGGCCACCACAGGACATCTCTGGGCAGCCCTGTGCCCCTGGGAAGTGAGGTCCTCGAAGGCAGAGACTCAGCTGGGTCTCCCTTTGCTCCAGGATGAAGGGCTGGACCAGGCATTGTGGCATAAATGAATAGATTTCTGTCCAAACCTCATTCTCCTTGTATGTTTAACCAAAGTGAAGATGGGGGTGTGTGTTTCCATCCTCTGATTCAGGTCATTTAGGAAAAAGCCTTACCACTTCCTGGAGTCTACACATGAAACATCTGAAGATGCCGAAGTGTCTCTTACCTCCACCCCATTCACTCACTCCTCAGACTAGGTAAGCCCTCTGCATGCTACGTGGAGTCTCCCTTCTCACCCTGGAGGCCCTCTCTGGATCCAGATCCCTTGGTCAGTACCTTGGCCAACAGGTGGTTCCTATTCTGCAGGAGTGGGAGTCCTAGAGTGTAGTACAGCAGAACGATCACCTCTCACTTGCTACATCTTCACCCTCTATTAATAGGGTCAGCATCATCCATGGTGGTTTGGGTCCTTGTGTCTCATTAGAAACTCACAATATACGGCTTCCTAGAGGTCTCACTTTCCACATATCCTACCCAAGCCTTTCCCATCCTTTACCTGTATGGCTTTTTGTGTGGCACCTGAAACCACGGAGAAAGGGTAATGTTGTAGAAGCTGAGGAGGAGAAAACAAACTTCCTGTATGCCAGGTACTTTACATCCCATGTGCTCAAACAGTTACCTCTAACAACCCATGAAGCAGGTGTAACTGTCCTCATGTATAGATGTTGAAAAGCTCAGAGAAGTGCTTCGTTTGTCTAAGTCACACAGCTGCAAAGGGGCACGTTAGGATTCGAATCCAGACCTGCCTGGCCTCAGTCCTACACTTTTTTTTTGGTGGCCCTGCAGATGGATCCCAGGGCCTTTTGCTTTGAGTTAAACCTTTAGCACACCACCTCCTTTTTAAAATTGTGAACAGGGTCTTACTAAGTTGCCCAAGTTGGGCTCAAACTTGGGATTGATCCTCTCACCTCAGCCTTCCGAGTGCTGAGGCTGCAGGGGTGCACTATGCCTGGCTGGGCCTGTGTGTTTATAGCAGTGGCAGTATTTCTTCCTGATGACCACAGGGATCTGAGCTGGAGGGGAGGCAGCCAGGTCCCCTGGGGAGGATCTCTTCCCTATCCCTGCGGGTAACCAAGCGCCTCCCACTCCTCCCCAACCCGGCTTCCCTTCCGGGCACTGCGTTCAGCATTCCACCAGGAGCCACCCCAGCCAGAAAGGTCTCTGTGTCCATCTGCCTGCTTGGCACTGCGGGCAGCAGATGGGGGCCAGCGAACCATCTTGGAAGAGGTGCACGGAGAAGGACAAGGCCGGCCTCCCCTCACCAGCTGTTAAGGGGCTCGCCAATTAAGTGGCTGCTTAGGGCTTTCAGAACCACTCATCAGAACTGCCAAAACCTTTAAAAAGAGCTTTTCAAAAATTTTCTCTTCATTTTTTTAAGCGTGCTAAAAGGTTCATTAAAGATCCCCAAAGGGTGGAGAAGCCTTCTCCAGCCTCCTCCTCCCGCCTCCTCCTCCCGCATGCAGTAATTAAGACCACGTGCACCCCCATATCAGCTTTCTGCCTCCCTAGTTGGCAGTGAGAATGTGGCTGGGGGTTCAGGAGCACCTCAGTAGCCAGGCTGCCTCCCAAGGAGCTGCTGGTTAGTGTGAGATGCTAGGAGCTGGTAACTTGGTTAAACGACGCTGTCATTTGTCAGAGGACAGCTGCTCCAGCCTCACCCCGCCTGCTGTCTGTCTCCTCTTCAGAACTCAAATGGGAAACAATCAAAGAAAAGGCCCCTGGGAGTCCAGGCAGACTGTTCCCTGGGGAAACTCGCCAGAGGAAGTGTTGTTTGGGGAGCTGCACCCCGGGGCCCCGTGGAGGACAGTCTTCCTGTTGGGGTGGGGACTGCGGCTGCCCAGGAGGGTTGCTACACCCTGAGTCTGGAGGCTTAGACCGGCTGCCCCATTCTGGGTGAATTACCCGGGCCAGGCGGCTTGTCTTTTCACCTGAGCTTTCATATCTGTAAAGTGGAGGTGAACTCTGGCTTGCGGGGCTGCTGAGGGGGTTATGCGGCCATAGAGTCGTGACAGGAATGACAGCTGTCAACAGTGGAGCGTGTCCCAAGAGCAAGCAGGATGCTCTGCTGAGGTTCTCAAAGCACCCATTTCACGGGCAAGAAAAGCGAGGCTCGGGAGTCTGAGGGATGGTGTCAGAGGCCACACAGCTGGGGAGCACCGTGGGGCTGGGAGCCAGGCGTGCCTGCTTCCATTGGTGCTGCAGGTTCTTTTTTAAATCAGATACTCCATGCAGTTGTGATTGTGACCACAGTTTGTACAGGGAAGAACCGCTACCTGCCCAGTTAGCAAAAGTGTCCTCCCACGTGGCTATTCTGTGAGCTACCAGGCTCTAAGGAATGAGAGAAGCACAAGGGACCACCCAGATCTTGCAGGGATGGAGCAGGGTGGCGGGGACAGGACAGCCGAAGGCTCCGTGGTGCACTGACTGGTGACACCCAGGGACCTGGACAGGTCTGCACCTGCCCAGCAGCAGAGTCCCCATGCTAATAGAAGCCAATGCAGGATCAGCAGAGGCTCAGCCAGCACGGCCTGGCCCTCATTTGCGAGGCAGACGTTCCCCGAGCGCCTGCTCTGTGCTCTGGGCCGAGGTACAGCCGCGGGAGGCTGGGAGACAGCCACGTTGCAGCGCTGCCCCTGCCCTTCCCCAGCCTCCCCTCCTAGGAGCTTCCTCCTCCTCACCCTCCACCAGGGGCCTCAGGCCACTGTGCAGAACAGTCCTCCCGCCAGGGCCGCACCCTGGAGTTTCAGCTTGTGCGTTCCGCCTCGGGGACACCGCAGAGACTTGCTTGTTCGTCACTTCCAGCAGCTGCCTTTGCAGTTAGAGCGAAGCCGCTCGGGGACCGAGTCACTGTGCGCATTGCTTCGGCTGCTTCTACCACAGTCTGTGGGACCTGCTGCCCAGCGTCGGGGCCCTGGGTTCCCAGAGGAGCAGGCTCAGCCCTGCTCCAGTGACATCGGGTGAGAGGACAGTGGAGGGCTGTGGCCGCAGTACTTGGTGGATCACCGGCAGAGCCCGGGGAAGGTGGCATCTCGGCGGACGGATGGTCCAGGAGCCCCGACCCGGGCTCCAGCCTGCGGTACCTCTGTGCTTCGGCTGGGCAGGAGCAAGAGAAAGTAAGAAGGAAGGAAACTCAGTCAGGTTCCCCAGGAAACGCTGAGAAACAACACCCGACTGACTGACCGGGGACGCCTGTGAGCCTGGGGGGCGCCTGCAGGCCAGGGGTGCAGAGCTGCCTGGGGACTGACCTCCACGGGCCGGAGCTGTAGCCGGGCAGGAGGGAAGGGCGGAGGCTGGACCCGCACGTCTCCCGAGCGGGTCTCCTTCCTGCATCAGTACCCGGGGCCGCACACCTTCCTCCATGACCCTGCATCTCGGCTGTGGTGTTCCAGGCCCAGGACAGATGGGCAGTCACAGAGCCGCCGTGGAGAGGGTGAGCATCTGGAGAGAGGAGCGCGGCAGTGAAGCCCTGCGGGGTGAGGGAGGCCGAGGGGCGTCCGAAGTGGAGGCTCTGAGACCGCTCCTGTCTGCTGAGGAGACTTCAGGACCCGGATCCCCACGATGGACGGGGCAGCTCCGGAGAGAGGAAAGCCTGGGTGGGTGGCAGAAGAGCCTGATGGGTGCCCCGAGGCCTCCCCTCCGGCCCAGCCCAGCTCCCCTGAGGGCCGGCATCCGGTCAGCGCATCCCATGTGTGAGCGGCACGGTGGCGTCCGGGGCTCCCGGCCTGGAAGCAGAGAGGCAGAGCTAAGTGGACCCGAAGGGCTGGCCACACCGTGGGCTTCGCTGCTAGATATGGGGCGAGGCATGTTGGGGGCGTTGCTGGGTACCGGCTGTGGGGAAGAATTTCCGGGGCTGGGGCTGGGGGTGAGTGTGACAGTGGCCGTAGCTGGGACACTCAAGAGGCAGTGAAGGCATCACGCAGAGGAGCTGGCGGTGGGGCTGGGGACAGCGGCAGGAGAGCGGCTGTATAGCCGTGGTGGCAGAGCTGCTGATTCCCACCGTGAGGAGCCACACGTGTGACCTCATCGGACCCCAGTGACCTTTCACAGGCCCACCCGGTACGTCACCCCCAGGCTAGAGTTCATCCTATGGGGGGACACCCTCAGTCTACCACACAGATCGTGTCCCCCCCGGGAGCCCTGCATCAGCCCTGCAGAAAGGCAGCACGCAGACCTCCCGGCCCCAGGCTCCGGAAGTGAACACGGGGTGCCTGGCTGCTGGCCGAGGATTTCCCCTGGTCTTCGCTTGCCCCTGAGCTGCCTGGTGACCGAGCTCCCATCTAGCCTGAATATTCTCGACTTTTAGCACGCTCCAAGCTGTCTTAATTTGATGACCAGGGATGGGTTGGACCCTGAGGAGAGAGCTGCAGGTGCCAGGCAGGCAGGCGGGAGGAGGGTGGCGTGGAGACAGTGCCAGTGAGAGCCCTCTCTCGGACTCCTGGGAGGAATAGCTCCCTCGAGCTGTTGCAGTGCTAGCCCAGCCTTCCTCCCCCTTTCTTGCACACTTGTTTGCTGTGGGTTTCCTGCCTTTCAGGCCACGAGGGGCACCCGTGCCCACTGCCTCCCTCTCTCTCTCTCATCCATACTTATTGAGTGCTTGAGATCTGCCGGGCCCTGTTCTTGGTGGTGGTGGGGATGTAGGTGCCAACAAGACAGGTGCTGCCGCTAGAGAGCCCATGGTCCGGTGGACGTGCAGAGAGAGAGCCAAAACCGGAATCCTCCCAGAGGGGAGCAGGCTGTGCCTGAGGGCTGTTGAAGGCCAGGAAGAGGACCCCGGGCACAGGGCACAGTGAGAGTATAAGGCTTCAGGGAAGGGCAGAACCAGCGGTCATCCGAGTCACACCTCCTCCCCCGCAGTCTAGCTTCCTCCTCTGTGACGTGGCGATCACACCTGCTCTCCAGGATTTTAAAAGCCAGCTCCAAAACCCCACAGCGGGGAGGGTGACGGTCAAGGTGGGAGGGATACATTCTAGCTGGAGGGGTGTAGGAGATTTTTCTTTTTTGGTTTGCTTGTTTTTTTTTTCAATTTTCTTTGCTCTGGGAAACCAGAACCTTCACAAGAGCTACCAGTATATCTCTGGCCCTTTTTTATTTTGAGATAGGGTCTTGCTGAGTTACTGAGTTGCCCGAGCTGGACTCTAACTTTCAAGCCTCCTGCATCAGCGTCCTGGGAGTCCTTCTTGACCTGCTATATAACGTCAGGAGGGCTGGCAATCCCGAACTTGCCTCCTGGGAGAGGCATGGCAGTAAGCAGAGGATGACAGAGGGTCAGGAAAGTGGTGGCCACGCTCCTGACCTCCCACCAGCTCGGTGGTCTTCATGACCCCAGTTTCTAAGAGAAGTGGTGGAGCTCGTGTGTGTTTCTGATTATTGTCTGTCTCCCCTATTCGGGTCCTAAGCTCTGGGAGGGCCGTGGGGTGTTTGGCTCCTGTTTGCTAGAGGAGGAGGGAGGCTGTGAACCAGGCCACTCGGTGGAGCACCTTACAATGAGGTTATGCAACCATTTCCCACGGCCTCTCGTGAGTTGAGGGGTCTTTAAGGACACCTGACCCCACGGAGTCAAACACATGCAGTGGGATTGGAAAAAAAGCAGTGAATGAATATTTAAATTTTAAAAATGTTTTACTGTGAAAGACACACCACCATCCACCTCCCCTCGACATAGCCTTCTCCCTCCCTCACCCTCGTCCCGTCCTGCTAGCCGCTTTCTGAAGCAGGTCTGGAGGTCCTCTTTCCTGAGTGTCTTGAGCTGTGCTGTCCTGGACACACAACGTCCTGAACTGATTCACGGTATTTACCTTTTGTGGTCACTTTGATGTGGGGGAGAGCCGGAAGTTGAGTGCTGCCAGAGCCAGTGACTAAGCCGGATGAGGACACACTGTCTCGTTTGTGCAAACCCGCCCTTTCTTCAGACCACACACAGCCGCGGCATTCGCTGTATTTTTGACCAAATCTTGTAAAGACATGAAAGAGGACTTCCAAGAACTGCTTCAGAAAGTGGCAAGGATAGGATGAATGCATTTAAGTCGAGGGGGAATATTCTGAGGGGGATCAACAGCAGTGTGGCTTTGACGGTAATAAATGTTTAAAACTTTAAACATCCACTGGATATTGGGATCACACCTGCTATACGGAGAGAGCGAAGTTGCACAGAAATAGCCCCCAAATCCCCTCCCTGGAGGTGCTCAAAGCAGAAACGCTTAATATTGTTATTTATGCGAACTTTATTATCTCGTTCATCCCAGCCCCCAGGAATGTGAGACCTGTTCCCAGCGGATGCAGCTTAGGAAAAGTAGGCGAGGGGGTAAGTTCCTCTGAGACTTTCACAGACAGAGATGGGCCACCGTGGTCCCAAGTGCAGGGCTCATTCCTGCAGCCTCTGGCCACAAGGGTCCTAGACCCTTCCCTTATGGCTGCACAGGGCCATTGCATTCCTGAGTGTCCTCTTCCGCCGCCCATGAGCCGTGTGCTGTGGTTTTGTGCCACTCATTCTTGCACTGAGCCCCAGTTTCCTCCTGGGTTGAATGCATGAGCATTTTCACCTGCCCCCTTCCTGTTTCACCTGCCCCCTTCCTGGGCGGCTGTCCACCTGCACGTGAGCTGAGGCAGGCCAGGCAGACAGCAGGTGCACGTGCCCTGGCTGCCTTTCCCTCTTGCCTTCATGGGCTGTGGATACGCAGGGCACAGGGAGGAGTGGCCCCTCAGGGAACCCATCTGAGGACTCTGGGAGAAGCAGCAGGCAGGCTGGGTGGAGGGGGAGGCAGATTGAGGGCCACAGGGAAGGAGGCCGAGAATGCAGAACCTAGAGCCAGGCAGATAGGAAGCAGGACAAGGAGCACACACTTGCCGTGTCATATAAATGATAAACAATAATAATAACATCGGTTCCCGTGTAATGAGAAAGACTACAGAGACCAAATTACCTCGGTAATGGGCTGTGGGTGTCAGGAAGCCATTTATTTGTTGAAGGAAGGGCTGAGAGTTGATCTCTCTCTCTCTCTCTCTCTCCCCCGCCCCCATCAGGATGCTGCTCAAGGTGGGAGAAGGAGAACTGAGCGCAGCACAGGGCAAAGCATCAGGGGCTCAGGTAGATGGTAGCGACTCAAGGGGCTCAGAAGAGGGGCACAGTGGTCTTTGCTGTCATCAAACATCTCTTGTGCCCACCTGCTGGGTCGTGGCGGGTCTGCATTCCTTGGCCCTCTGTGGATGTGGGGCCACTGGGTGGTCAGGGGAAGTGCTGTGTTTCCCTCCTGGGGGAGATCCCAGAACCCCTGAGGTAATGTGGGGCCCGGACCTGGAGAGAAAGTGGAGCGAGTAGAGCCTGCATCGCAGTGGACCAGCAGCAGGAGTAAGAACCGAAGCTTTGAGATTTCGGGCACTGAGGTTGTGGTTGCTGTTACTACAGCAGGAAGAGCCCCGTCCTCATACGAGACCCGCTTCCATCTAGCAGCTGGGCCCCTCCATGAGCCCCGAAATGGAGATGCCCTGGTTGGGAAGGACTGTCCCCAGTCCCCGCAGCAAGGCAAGGAGTCTTGACCGGGACTCACTTGACCATCTGCCCCTGGCGCTGCCGTGTTCCGCTGGCTGCCGCATGGCTCCAGGCTTTACGAGTCGTGGTTGGGCTCAGGAAGTAAAGGGTGTCAGACAGGGCGCCCAGTGTGGCAGAGAGGGTGGAGGATCTGGAGGCTGGGTCTTTTCCAAGTCACCGGATGCTACAGCTCTGTGGCTTTGGGATCAGAACCTCACAGTTCCTCCTTAGGGTGAGACGGAGGCTCTCATTTTCAAGGTTGCACCAGACACACTGCAGTGGCCTCTGAGCCTCCCTGGAATTTCTCTGGAGTTGCTCACGCCACTTTCCAGCGGCGGGAGGTCCCCCGGGACAGGAGCGTTGCTTCCACAGCTGCATTGGGGAGTGGGGGGTGGCGTGCAGCCTGGGTCAAGAGCGGGGTGGATCTCTGCCTCCCGTTTAACTGGTGGGGAGCTCAGCTGGAGCCCCAGCCCCAAAGCTCCCCACCAATGGGCACGCAGCACCAGGCGTCCTGCTGTGAGACTCCGTGCCGTGGCCCCGGACAAGACCCAGCTCTTAGCCCTTCTTACGGGAGGTGTCCTCCTTCAGACCCGGGATCTGTCCACGGCTCTTTCTGGGTCCTTTCCTGCTGCCACACGGCCTGGCCTCTCGCCATAGACCGCGCTCTCGCTGCCTCCTGCAGCCCATCCATTATACACTCGCGTACTCAACCTCATAAATAGCCCTGGCCGCCTACGAACATAAATTGCATTTAGAAAGGGGCACAGTGGTTCAGCATCTTAAGCTGGCGTAATGACAATGTCGTGATCACCTACCGGACCGGGTACCTTCGGAGTCTGGACAAGTTAGCCGACACCTTCCTCTAGTGCCCCCAAGAGCCGGTGCCATTATTTTCTGCTGACTAAACGGAAGCATGGTGCACGTCAGTAACTTGCCCAAGGTCACGCAGGGAGCACACATCAAAGACAGCATTTGTGCCTCCTTGGTTTCCCCCTCCTTTTTTCCCCCTGTGGTACTGGGCATTGAACCTAGGGCCTTCATGCTGAGCTACATCTCCAGACCTTATTTATTAATTTTTGTTTTATTTTGAGATAGGGTCTTGTTAAGTCACTGAGTTGTCCAGGCTTGGCTCAAACTTTTGATCTTCTGCCTCAGCCTCCCGGAGAACTGGGATTACAGCTATGCCAGCCATACCCAGCTGGCTCTTTGCTCTTAACACTACTCTACTTGAGAGAGCTTTGGGGTCCCCAAACTCAGTCCTATTCGGAGGCAAATCACAGACAGATGAGTGATTTTCTAGTGCCCACAGAAAGATAATGGCAGATCCAGAAGGAGACCCACCTCTTGTCCATTCTGTCCCAGGCCACGGCACAGCCTTTAGTCCAGACAAGGCTGCCTGGCTCTGTCCTGCTCCTCCTACAGGCAGGGTTTCCTCCCTATCCCCAAGGGCCCAGCCGGAGCAGGGAAAGGAACACACTGCCCTCCTCAGGACCCACAGGAGCAAGCCGCTCCTCTCCTAGGCACATTTGAGAATGATTCAGGAATCAGGGGACAGGGAGAAAGCTTCATCCCCAACCACCTTCTACTAGGCAGGAGCTGCCTGCCTTGGGGGATGTGCTATGGGGAAGTGGTCCCACCTGGCCAGGGCTGAATTCTCTGAAGGAGAACAGGGCTGTCTGCTCAGTTATATCTGGCTTCTTGCCCTACCTACGCCCCCATCCCCCAATGACAGAGAGACAAAACTGGGCTTGTAGCTGGGTACGGTGGTGCGTGTCTGGACTCCCAGCAGCCTGGGAGGCTGAGGCAGGAGGGTCAACAGTTTAAGTCCAGCCTGGCAGTTGAGAGACTTAGAGAGTCCCTGTCTCTTAAAAAGTAGAAGAAGACCAGGGAACAGCTTAGTAGAAAGGTCCTGGTTTCAACCCTTAGTTCCAAAACAGAACAGAGCAAAACAAAATGAAAAAGTCTCACACACACACACACACACACACACACACACACACACACACACAAATGGCCTTGGGCAGACACACCAAGGTAGCGAACACACACACACACACACACACACACACACACACACAAATGGCCTTGGGCAGACACACCAAGGTGCTCAGGAGTCCAGAGTGAAAAAACAAACCCACATAAGTTTCACCCAGAGGGCAGGTCATTGTCAGGGCCAACAGGTGAGAAGTGCAGTGGGGAAGAAGCCCGTCAGAGCTCCAGAGTTAGCTCCTCAATGACAAACCATGGGGCATTAAAACTAATCAGCTGTGCGATGGTTTTTATTATATAAGCCAATAAAACGAGAAAATTACATTTTCACTGTTAACTGTTAGGCTGAGGTTTTTGAACCTTATATTTTATAGTCTCCTGGTTCTTGAAGATTTTTTCTTTTAAAAGACATTCTTTCTTAATGAACTCAGTCACTCTCAAACATTCTGCACTGTGGGGCTCAAACTTCCTTGCAGGTCAGCATGACTGGGGCTCTGTGTCTGTCAGTCCCTCACCCACCCATATTTAGTGAGCACTTGCTAGAAGCCAGTGTCTGGCATGCCACAAACAGGATTATTATCCCCAAATGTGCATGCAGTAGGTAGGATGACTGCCGTAGTCTTTCACTGGCCTGCACTCTTTACCGTGTGGCTGTGCTGTAGAGCAGTCATTGCTCAGGTTCCTGAATTACTGACATTTTTGCGCTGCTCTGCGACTTGCTAGTACCATCAGAATGGACTAGAAAGTGGATTGTGAGATCATTGCTGTGGTGAATTTCTACTTGTCCTTTGCAGTTTTTTGTTGTTTTTTTGGATCAAACTCAGGACCTTGCGCTTGCAAGGCAGATGGCAGAACCACTGAGCTAAATCCCCAGCCACCTTTGCAGGGTTTTTTGTTTTGTTTTGTTGTGTGTGTTTTTTGTTTTGGGTTACCGGGGATTGAACTCAGATCCTTGTGCTTGCAAGGCAGGCAGCAGAACCACTGAGCTAAATCCCCGGCCCCCCTGCAGGGCTTTTGTCCTTCATCTGAACAGCGCGTGCTCAGCTCACCTGGTCTTGGGATGAGAAGCCGAAGTGGGCCTGACCCCAATCCACGTCGGGAGCCTAAGCCAGAGCCCCAGCCATCCTGTTTTGCTAGCCATTGCCCTTTGAGGTTGGCATGCAGCTTTATCGCAACAACAACCACCACAAACCTACCCAATTTAGCTGTACCCTGACGTATGTGGAGAATCTTAGCTATTTAAGTCTGAAAGAAACTCATCATAAGGGCTGTCACTCACCGAGGGCCTCCTGAACGCCAGGCTCTGTACTGGGTGACCGATAATTCAGCCTCATTTCCAATTGAGGAAATGGAAGCTCCGAGAGGCCAGTAGCCGGCCTAGGTCACTCAGATCATTAGTGGTAGAATTTAACTCGAGTCTGGCTGGGTCCACAGCCCCACTCATCCGTGCTGCCCTCACCCCTGGAGCTGGCCAGCCCTGTCTGCCTCAGGCCTCCATGACTGTGACCCTTCTTCCAAGATCTTTGCCAAGGTTCCCATCAGCCTGCCTGGGAGTTCTTTAATTAAATGAAGAGGAGCTCCTCTCTCCCCCAAAAGGGTGCTCTGTCTCTGAGAAGTTCTGGGCATTGCGAATTCTTCTTTCTATTGAGCCAGCCCTGTCCCTGGGAAGCACCTGTCCCTTGGTCCTGATTTTCCTCCCTTGCTTGGGTAGGAAGATCACAAGCTGCCTTCCATACCCCTTCACTTCACAGATTGCAAGACAGATTTACGAGGACCCCAGGTGCCTGGTTTCATATGTTCCCCCCTCGGTTTTGTGTCTTGGAAATTTGGCCCAGTTTTGCAGCAGTGTTGAGGAGTAGGCAGTAATTGGGGTAAGAGGGCCTGGCCCTTGTGTTGGAGGAATCCATTCATGGACTCGTGGGCCCATGTGTGACCGCAGAGTGGCCTTGTTATAAAGACCAGCTGGGTCCCCCACGCGATGCCCTCGCTCTAGTGTGATACAGCAGGGAGGCTCTCGCGAGAAGCCAAGCCCATGTTGGCACCTTGCTCTGGGACTCTCCAGCCCGCACAGCCCTGGGTGAGTGAACTTCCGTTTATAAATCACGCGGTATCATGTGTTATAGCAACAGAAAAGGGGTGAAGACACCATCTTTCTCTGACTGTCCTTAAGAAAACACATCTTACTGTGAAATATTATGTGCAGAAAAATGCATTCAAGTATGACAGCAAAATTTCCTAAATAATTCTGAAGGGAGTCCCACAGAACCCTTCCCAGGCCAGGAGTTGAAACCTCATCATCACCCAACGAGCCTGTCTGCCCTTCTGGGTGTCTCTGCCCCTCATTCAGCTATGACCACCATCCTGAGAGTGTCAAGCATAATTTCCTGGCTTTCCTATGGTTTAATCACTTCCACATCTACACATAGGCACCACAGTCTGGTTTTACCTGTCAGGGAGTTCATGTAAATGCAGTCATGCTGTGGTGGTCTTTTGTACCTTTAAAATATTCATATTTTGTTTAAGATCCACGTTATCGCTTGGAGTTGATTTAATTTCTCTTCCTTGCTGCGAAGTAGTGTACCGCATGAATACATTACAGTTTCGTGTCTGTTCTGGTGCTGGGGACCTATGTGTGTCCCTTTGGGTTGTGATACAGGGTGCTGCTATGAATATTCTGACTGTGGACTTCACAAGACCTGGGGATCTTCAATGTTCTTAATTTCAGTGCGCCTTTGAAAGTGACAGAAGCTGGGTCATACCCCCGGCCGCCAGTGCCCCACGGGCTCCCTACCTCATAGCTCCTTATCCTGGCCGTTTGCTCTCTAAGCGGCCTCCACACATTCCCGTGAGATGCCCCGTGAGATGTCACGGTGCACACACGAGCCTGGATACACGCTTACCGAACATGCGTGGGTTCTATGTGGAGATGAGACGCCTCCCCTGTGCTCCGATAGACCTCAGGCCCCCATTCATCGCCGACCTACTCTGTCCTGGTAGGAATGTCTGAGAAATAAAAGTCAGCTGGCTGCTGACCACACCCGTGATTCCGGCTACTCAGCGGGAGGCTGAGGCAAGAGGGTTGTAAGTATGAGGCCAACCCGGCAACTTAGTGAGGCCATGTCTCAAAATAAAGTAAAATGGATCGAGGGGTAGCTCAGTAGAGAGCTCTTGCCCAGAGTGCACGAGGCCCCAGCCCCGTCCGAGCTTCAGCACTGTAAACTAAGGCAACAAAAGCAAGTCCGCCTGAGGTGTTCCCCATGAGACCATGTCTCACTCTCACTCCCCGGCAGGACTAGGACGCCTCATGGCTGTGGCTGTCCTCATCTCCTGAGCCCAGACTCCGCTGTCTGCCTCGCTCTGGCCCCTGGCAGCTCGGCAGTCTCCAAGCAGAGACCCGGCGTGCACACATGTGGTCCAGCTTGTGCTCTTTTGCTTCTGCTGGGCCCAGGAAGGGCACGAAGGCCAAACGGCAGGACAACCCCAGCCAAGCCCAGGGACACTCACAATGCCCAGCTGCCGCTGAGGATCTGCGACTACGGGTGCACCATCTCCAGCATCCTTGTCACTGTTGTCCTGGCCATAACAGCCACTGCTTATCAAGCAAGTCCCGTGTGCCAAACGCTGCACCAAGAACTTCACATACAGCATTCTGGGGAGTCCCCAGCCATCCCTCTGCAGAGTCAGTCACACTGTCTCCTCTTCGCAGCTGGACTCTGAGGCTCGGAGAGGCTGTGGGACTTCCCCCCGTGCCACCCCAGCCGACTCAGGCTGGCCTTCAGCCTTTGCCCTGATGGTACAGTCGGGCGAGGAAGCCGCCCCTTGAGTTCACGGGGATGAAATGAGAGCCTCTGCGGTAGGTGGGTCTGCTTCTGACCACTGAGGTGTCCTGCAGCGAACCATCGGGTCACCCAA